CATCATAGGTCTCTTGAGCCTCTGTGGTAGGAAGGAAGAAGAGGGCAAAGCAAAAGGATGACATTTTCAAACTATCAAATGTCAAGAAAAATATCACTTACTCAGCGACAAAAACCTTATTATTCAACTAGTATCCTCACTTCTGTATCCTCAGGGATTCTAACATCAGCATTAACTGGTCATTTAAAGTCATCTTCATGATTAGCATCTTGATAACAATTATCAAACTTGTCAGGTTGAAAAAAATTCACGTTTTAACTAGGAGACCACAATTGCAGTATAATAATTCTCTTTAAACTGTTTTAGATTTTCATATTGATAGTATTCAGTTAGTCTTGGTTTACTATTGTTTTACTCATAATATTTTACTCATTACTCATAATGAGGCTTTCTTTATCCACAGAAGTAAGTCATAATTTATATAGTGCTTCATAGTTTAAAGATGAGATCATATGCATCTTCTCCTGTTTATCTCAACAATTAGAATAATGAAGGGCTAGCAATAACAACTAAGTGTAAGAATAGATGGCATTTGTATTCATGGTATTGTAACTTTTAAAAAAGTAGTACTTGATTATCTATGAAGTTTTGTTTTGGGGAAAATAAACCCATACACCAAGGCAAAGGGTATACCAAAACTCTCCTAAGTTTTATGCACATGTTACTTAAAATTCATTTATTAATTTCTATTCCATTTTTTGAAGTGGTATTTAATATAATAAAAACTTTAAAAATGATTACTACTTCTGTTAACTTTTAAGAATCCATAAAAACACATTGATAGTGTAGCTTTTTGACAAGCATTATTTCCCTGCTATTTGTTAATAAGTTCTTGGATTTTAAATTTTATGATAGTGATAAAATTGAAATTTGGCATACTATAACTATATAGTTACAATGGTAATATTATGAAGCATTTAAAATTGAACACTTACTTTTTCTTAGTGGAAAGAAGTTCGTTGTTTTTGTAAAAATAGCTAGTACTATTTATAATCTATTTTATGTAACATTACCATGGGAAATGGACTTCAAATAAATGAAGTAAATAAACAACACATCATAGTGATCTAAGTAGAATAAGAGAGTGAAATTGGAAACATTGTTTCTCCATGGTTCTTCACAAAAGTAATACTAGGTTTGTCATGAAAATCACCTTGGCAGTGCACCTGGGTGGCTCAGTGGGTTAAAGCCTGTGCCTTCAGTTCAGATCATGATCCCAGGGTCCTGGGATCGAACCCCACATTGGGCTCTCTGCTCAGCAGGGAGCCTGCTTCCTCCTCTCTCTGCCTGCCTCTCTGCCTACTTGTGATCTCTGTCAAATAACTAAATAAAATCTTTAAAAAAAAAATCATCTTGTCTTCTTTCCTAGCAAGGCCATCAGCATATATATTAGGTTTTTCATTATAGAAAGTTTGGAATACCCAGAAGAACATAAAGAATATACATAGGTCTTAATTATCTCTAGTAATTCTATCATACAGATAACTATTAACATTTCATTTTATATCCTCCTGGTCTATATTATACAGAAGTATATGTGATCACATTGATATTACATATAATTTGTTATATATATATATAATTAGGGTTGTCTTGTATGCTGTTTTGGTATTTCTTTTTGTCATTACATATCTATCTTTTCCCCACCATCAAATAGTCTTCTATAATATGAAAAGCATGAGTGGGGAGGAAGGGCAGATTGTCGAAATATTTTCACAGATACATTAGAGGTCACTTAAAGTCACTTAAAAATCAATACATCTCTGGGCGCCTGGGAGGCTCAGACCATTAAGCATCTGCCTTCAGCTCAGGTCATGATCCCAGAGTCCTGGGATTGATTCCCACATCTGGCTCCCTGCTCAACAAGGAGCCTCCTTTTCCCTCTGCCTTCCCCTGCTTGTGCACTCTCTCTGCATAAATTAAATAAATAAAATCTTTAAAAAATTTCAATACATCTCTAAAAAAATATGAGTAAGAAATAGTTAACTAATTAACAAATAGATCTTTGTTTTTATTAACATATACTTAAAAAATTCTTTTTAAATTATGAAAATTGTAATTTGTTCTTTGTGTTAGAAAGTAAAATTCTCCTATAAATAAATCTCCCACTAAGAATTTGGTATATATTCTTCCAGTTTTAATGTGCTTTTAAGTGACTAAATAGTATTTCAACTTACAGATTTACTGTAATTTACTAAATTCCCAACATTGGGCACTTAAGCTATTTACAATATTTCATTATTTTGCAGATCCCTGAATGAAAATCTTTGATTTCTTCAACAAATCATGCTAAATTTATCATATCCTATTCTTATATACATATCATAATTAAGTCTCATGAATTTCAATACTGAACTTCTTTGAACCTACTTCCTTATCTGCAAATTTAGGGGGTTAGATCACAGCTCTAATACGCTCCAATTCTAAAAAATTTGAGTTGTAAACATAGTAGCTCCTTAATAACTGAGTAAAAGCATTTGTGAACTCGTAGAAGAAACATGAGATATATAATTCATGTCTTTCAAATGAGTACAAAGAAGGTGTATGTGCATTGAGGTGTGTGTGGGTGGGGAAGGCATAAACAGAACCATACAGAGGAATTATCTTCTTAGATCACCAATTTTATTTCAGGATTGAAGGATAAAGTTTGGGGTTTTTTCCCTGTAAATATATTTTAAGATTTTAAAATCTCACTAATTTTTAAGATTAAGTCTTTGAAAAAAAAAATTGTATTTTTGAGTATGGTGCCCCCAGAAGTCAGGAGTTATTTGCTACCTTTATTAGGAAAGGATGCAAGGCTTTAAATGAAGAGGAAGGCTTATCAGATGTAACCCAAACCATTTAAGAACTGGCATCACATTCTTAAGAGTAACTAGGATATTTGAAGTAATGCCTGGCCTTGGACTCTAAACACACATTCACTCACTTCACTGCCTCATTTGAGAACTTGCCAAGAGCTTAAGGTTTGTTCAATTTTACTAATTCAAACCTGTCCCATCTTGCTTTTATACAATTTCGTGAAACTTCTAGCTCATTTCTTTTAAAACCAGAAGGCTAATGTCCAGACAGCAGGTCTAACTTTTATCAACATACTGATGTTGGAAACAAAGGCAGAAGAAAAATTATTAAATTTTGACAATTCCTTGAAACAGGCAGAGTGACATTCTTCGGGGGACTCAATCGCCTCGATATTAATACTTTGCTAAGGGCAAAGTCAATCCTAGGGGTGCTGGGGTGGCTCAGTGGGTTAAGCCTCTGCCTTCTGCTCCGGTCATGCTCTCAGGGTCCTGGGATTGAGCCCCACAGCAGGCTCTCTGCTCAGAGGGGAGCCTGCATCCCCCGCCCCCCTCTCTCTGCCTGCCTCTCTGCCTACTTGTGATGTCTGTCTCTGTAAAATAAGTAAATAAAATCTTAAAAAAAAAAAAAAAAGGCAATTCTAGCCTGACAACCCCCCACCCCCCCTCCCCAGGATACTCTACTTTAACATATAAAAATTCCTTTAGAAATTTCCTTTATCTCTAAATCCCCAAACGTGTTGGCAATCACCCTCCAAGCATATGACCCACCAACATACATTTGAAGGGTCTCATGACTAAAGTTTTATTAGACAGTAATAAGCGACCATGTCCCAACAATAGCTAGCCCCAACAACATCCTGGAAATCTTGCTTCCAAAATTCCTTAGAGACTTAGGCTACCCCTAACCCCTCTCAACTTGAAAGTATGTAACGGCCACTTCTCCTGACCCCACCGCACCTCTTTCTGCCCATGGGTCCTGTCCCCGTGCTTTAATAGAATCGGCTCAGGAATTCTCCCTTGGCCATTGGCTTCAACCCCTAACGTTCTTTCCTATATCAATACCCACAGGGAGTACTGTCCACTGAATGTAGTTCACTTATAGTTCTCATTCAATGCTTTATGAATTTTGCAGCAAGTGCATGGTTTTTACATTCACAATCATCTACTGTCCTTCCAACGCTCCACTTTATTTCGCATTAAACAGACCATGAACTTGCTTTTAAAAAGTTTTTAAAAGATGGATCTCGAGGAGTAAAGATAACTGAACCCAAAGCACCCAGATTTCTCTATCAGAGAAGGGTGAAGGGAAATCGGACATAAGGCCTTTCAAAATCCAAATGAACTGGAAAGCCAGCTTTTCTTACAAAAAATGTTGTAGCGAGGTTAACGGCTATCAAGAGCAAACTCTGTCAGGGTCTTGGTTTTCTAACTCCGAAACTGACCCGCCACCTTCAAAGCACATCAAGTGATGGACAAAGTGAAGTACACTCACAGAAAATTAATTTAAAATTTTCTGTACGTCTACCATATCCTGGGAAACAACTTTTCTTTCCTTTCTCTTCTTCTTTTAATACATTAAGGTTTTTTTTTTTTTAATTATTATTATTGTTTAAATGTCCGCCGAGAGGCCGAAACTGGCACGCGGGTACAGAAGGAGGTCGCCGCCACGGTCCCACTGGGCTCCCCCGCGACCGGCGTCGGAGGACCGCGCCCTCCCTGCACCTGCGCAAAGAGAGCGAAGAGGCTCTCCACACGCCCAGGGACCAACCGCTCAGGAGGACCCGCACTTCAGTTAAACTCTCCTGCAGAAGCCCGGGAAAGTCGGTTCCCACAACACTGGAGAGTGGGCGGCCGGGACGGGGTGGGGGTGGGCTTCCCGCCGACTCTGGCTCCGGAGGAGGGACTTTAGGACCCCTCCCTCTTCGGCTCCAAGTGAACCAGAAATTAGAATAAAATGTGTAAAACAGCGACCTCAAGTAACTTTGCAAAGGAATCTGCAGCATCTCCGCGGACGCTTAGAACCTCGGCTACCAGCGAAACGTCGGGGACCAACCAGTCCGCCTCAGCCCGGGTCGGAGGCGGGCGCCACGCCCCAGCCGCCGGCGCGTGACCCGGAAGTGCTCGGCGGCGGCGGCTGCGACGGCCGCGGGGGCGGGGGCGGGGGCGGGGGCGCGGCCAACCCGGCGCACACGCGCGCGCTCCGCCGAGGAACTCCCGCCGGCCGCCCGGCGCTCTCCCGGAGGCGCGCCCGAGCCGCCGCGGCCGCCGCCAACATGGCCGAGACGAGCGAAGAGGTGGCGGTGCTGGTGCAGCGGGTGGTGAAGGACATCACCAACGCCTTCAGGAGGAATCCGCACATGTGAGTCGCGCGCCGGCGGTGCCGCTGCCTCCGCTGCCTGCGGGGGTCGTCGGGGGCGGGCGGGGGCGGGGCTGAGCCTCGAGCGACCTCTGGGGGCACGTCCCGGCCCGCGTGTCCCTCGCCGGAGGGGACCGATCGAGGTCCGGGGCCCGACGGTCCTCGGCCGCCGCAGGGCCCGCTTTCCGCTACCGGAACGCGCCCGCGCGCGAGTCTCCAGAAGTGACCTCGGAAAATCACAACGGAGCGACTTTTTTCGCTCCCCTTCCCTGGGACTTCACGGAACTCGAAGGACTTCACGCGTGTGTCCCCAGCCTACATTCGTGTAAGGCGCACGGGCACGCACGTTGTGGTCCTGCAGATGCTTTGTAAACACAACTCTTCTGAGGTTGATCCCGGACCGGTAGTGGGGGGGGGGGTCACCGATCATCTTTCCTTCAGTGGGCCAGTGTACTAGCTAGAGCTAGTTTGAGGCTGCTTTTGACTCTCGCCCCACTTGTCCCAAGATCGTGGAGGGACTCCGATGGAACCGTGTGCCTTGAAGGTGAACAGAGCATTCACAGCAGTGTAGCTTCTGTAGGCACAGGATGCGTCTGGTGTAAAGCCCAGGAAACCTTGACACTTTTTAGCATTAGCTGATTCATAGTTACGGGGAACATTTTAACTCTTTTCGTATCCAGATGCTGCCGCCCTCTCTAAGTAGGACACCACAGGACTGACACGCGTCTTGCTCCCTCCTTCCTTTGCATGGTACTAGGAGTACTCCGGGAAGATACCAGAAGAGACTGTATTCTTTTTGACACTTTTGCCTTCATGTAACGAGTGAAAAAGGAAGCTATTAAAAGAAATGTCTACAGTATACAAAAGAGGAGGGAGAAGCAAGAATGTTTAATTTCCCTTCCTCTCTTTTCTCCCCGCTCACCGCAAAAGAAAGATACATGGAATCCAGTTTTACATTATTTTCACTTTCTCTAATTGTCCGTGTGGGTTTTCTTTTTAATATTTTATTTTTTAAACGAGAACACATGAATTATGCTTTTTTATGCATTTTAAACCGTAGGTACCAACCTTACATCTAAATGAAGTGTTCTTTTCCTTCAAAGCGGTGCTTATAAAAATTAAGACCTCAGATGTCTTGCTCCCTGCGGCACACAATTGGAGACCTGTAATAGTGCCTCATTAAAAACAAAACGCTGGTAGCCTCGAAACACACCTGCCTCTGAGAGTGTCCTCTCCTTTTCCCATTGTCGCTGCTGCCTTTTTTAAAATGAGTGTTTGGAATGTTTTCCTGGCAGTAACCATAGTGGGTACTGGGTCTTGTTAAGAATGCTTTGATGCCTTGTATATCAGTCTTTCAGTCCCTTTTCGAAAATGAGAGCTTCAGTGTAAGTAAGAGACAACCTCAAAAAAAGAAAAGAAGTTTGTTTAAGGGAATGGCCTATTTTCTCATCACTGATGTTGTTTTTCTTGAAGAAATTGTAGCAGAGATTAGAAGCCTAATAAATAACAGCGATCGCAGTTTCTCTTCTTTAAGGTAGATTGAAAAAGCCCATCAGAGGCGCCTGGGTGGCTCAGTCTGTTAAGTATCTGACTCTTGGTTTCAGCTCAGGTCATGATCTCAGGGACCTGAGATGGAGCCCTGCTCCTGCATCAGGCTCCTTGCTCAGCGGGCAGTCTGCTTCCCCCTTCCCCTGACCCCCCCCCCTTTCTCTTTCTCAAATAAATAAATCTTTTTTAAAAATCAGTGTTTTATATTTAAAGAAACAGATTGAGTGTTCACTGGTTTGGTGGGTGAGAGCACAGTTTAGAATACATCTCAGTTTTTCTGGATCATATTTATTCAAACTCATAAAGGACTTTAATGCCCCAATCGTATTTTTAATGATGAAAGCTCACATGCTCTCTATCAGTGCATAATTTAATATTATTAATAAACATTTGGGTCATTCAAAGATTTAAAAGTTTGAAATATGTTGAGCATTTGAAATTTGAAATGATACATAATACAGGTGCGAAGAGTTTAAATAGCTTAACTCATTGTTTAATATTAATTTTCAGCCATTTTGTAGTATATATTTCCTATAATAACGATATCTTCAATAATATTACTACACGGCATCATTAAAAATGTCTTATGGTTTGGGTTTTTTTTTTTTTTTTTTTGATTGCCTGTACTTCTTCCCCTAATCTAGCCCTCTTACTTCCAAAATGAATAAGCTGTATTTCTGGTTAAAAGAAAAAAAGAAGACATTGTTTATCTCAATAGTTAGTTACCTAATTACACTTTTCAGTATTATAGGAAAAAGTTTTTCATTCTTTTAGTTTTCCTTTTTTCTTCACACACAAGATGGATTGTAATTTTATTAGACATCATCTACTCCATTAAACATATTGACTTTGTTTCTGTAAAAATGCCTACCCAGGAGGAGTCAAACATGCATTGGTTAAGATGTGGATTTTATTACTGGTAGATGTGGATAGGTTACCCTCTGTCAACTTCATTCTCCTTTTGAATTAGTGAGGTTGATGAGAATGCAGGAAAATAACCTTGCCCAATGTCTGGCCCTTAGCTGCCACTAGCTAAATATTAGATTTAACCTGAATTTCTGTATTCCTCAGAAAACCATATTAGCCAACTGCATGGTGAATGTGAAATACTTTATAAATTGAAAAATACCATACGAATTTTGTATGGTTGACTCTTGGAGAATACCATTGGAAAAACAGCTGAAGGCTTGACCCAGGGACTAGAAGTAGCTTTAATAAATAGGCCTATGCTGATGTGGAAGATAGCTGTTTACGGTGTAATTAGGGTCCTATCAAAAGTCTCTTGCCCACCAAGTTATTTTTTTATTACTGTTTAAAATATTTATTGAACTCTCACTGTTGATGAGATGTTATAGGTACTATCCTCACAGTGTGGAATGAGAAGTATAAAACATAGTTCTTACACTCAAGGCACAGAAGTATCTGTGGTGGTAGCATTGTCCTGTCTGTGCTATTTAGTATGCTTGCGTACTTGAAATGTGGCTAATGTGAATGGGGAACTGAATTTTAAATTTTATTTAATGTTAATTAACTTATACATAGTGGCCATATGTTCCTAGTGACTACTGTATTGCACAGTGTAGCTCTGGATGGAGACATTAGACCCACCTGCACGCACAGTGAATTAACCCTGCAAAGCAGCTGGTGATAAAGGCTGGACTGGAAGCATGGTGAGCAAGTGCTGTGAGAGTGTACGAGGCGTAGGAGGAAGGCTTTTTGTGTCTAGGCCAGGGCCCTTAAGGGAGGCGGGTTTTGAGCTGAACATTGAAGACTGGGTAGGATTTACAGTCTCAGAGACAGAGCCAAGGACCTCCACACGAAACTGTGAATTAACCCAAAGTAGCAAAATGTGATTGAAAAGATAATAGTAGAGTCAGGTTATGGAAGTCCTTGACTATGTGGCTTAATTTCTTTCATTCCATGTGTGCATTCAGCAAAAGAACACCTTTTTATACGACAGATACAATTCTAGACCCTGGATGTGCAGGTCTCGGAGTGGGGTGCACATCGTCCTTGGCCCAGTAGAACAAACCAACACACAGAATATGAAAGGAGCCTGAAAGAGTTAGAAGGATACTTTGAAGGAATAATAACAGAGGGGCCTAACATAAACGAGAACCTCAAAATAAATCTTTTAAGGAAATAGCAACTAAATTGGGACATAAGGGATGGATGAGTTGGCTCAGAGAAAACAGCCTTCCCAGGCAGTGCATAGGCCCCAGTGATAACTTTGGAGTAAAGGAGTAGTAAGGAAAAGCACATCTTTAAGTTGAATTTGAAGAGTAGGAAACCACAAGTCTGAATTGTCTTCTTACACTTCATTTTTTATCTATATATTTAAATAATAGCATAGTTGTAAAAATTTGGATTTGGAATCTGGCAGTCCTGGATTTGAATCTTAGCTTATCGATCAGTAACTGGTAGACAAGACTCTTTCTTCATCTATAAAATGGGTTAAAATTCCTACCTTAAATTCCTTGTGTGAAATAAATGAAACACAGAGCCCTGCACACTACACTCAATAGACAGTAGCAGTTTTTGTAGCTGTTTTTAAAATATGTCCAGTCATACCATTCCAGCGATACATGGAGTTGTACTTTTTAGAATTGAGAAAGCCTTTGAGGTTTCTGAAATATCTTGATCACCAGCAAAGTTTTAATTATCAATATGAAAGGGTTAGTTCCTTTAGATATTTTGCTAACTTTACTTTTTAGTCATTTTGGAAAGAATTCCAGTTTGAAGGTGACAAAACCCCCTTTTTTTAAAAGATTTTATTTATCTGAGAGAGAGAACACGAGGAGGGGGAAGGGTAGAGAGAGAAGGAGAGAGAGAATCTCAAGCAGACCCTGCTCTGAGCACAGAATCAGACTCAGGGCTCTGTTTCACGACCCTGAGATCATGACATGAACTGAAATCAAGACTGGGACGCTTAACTGACTGAGCCACCCAGGTGCCCCCCAAATAACTATTAGACTAAGAAGATTTGGCCATTTCCTGAATCCTTGGGCTGAGTTTTCTGTATAGTCACTCCACATTACTGGGTTCAGTTTAGTATATTTGAGGACCGTTCTTCCCTCCCAAAGGGGAGACTGGGTGATACTACTTTTGAAAATAATATGCGAGCCTACTCTTAATTGATGATGTTTCTGAAATCGCAGACCAGAAAAGCTGTCTAAACAGGAGGAGTAAAGTCAATGTCTGTGTTACCTGAACTTTGAACTTCATTTGGAAGTCAGTGGGTCTCCATTGTGAGAAGCACTCAGAAAGCTGTCGGTGCTTTGTATGATCTTTTTAAGTAAAGGTGTTGGTTCATTCCATTGTGCTGTTTTTTTGGAGCAACCCTTGAAAGTAACCTAGTAAGTGAGGTTCGTGGTATCTGAGGATATTAGAACTTTTCCACCATCCCAAACCTTCAGGTCTTTAACAATCCTATGACATTGGTAATGTAGGTAACTATTTGAGTGTCCTTGTTAAATATCAGGGATCTAATTCTCAGAAACCTAAAAATATAAAAGACTGTAATTTAGTGGTAGCAAAAGAATCAGAAATTTCTCTTTTAACATTATCTCACAAGGAAAAAACTGGAGATATATCTGGTATTTATAGTACATTTCTTACAGCCATTAAAAATACAAAAATTAGGGACGCCTGGGTGGCTCAGTTGGTTAAGCAGCTGCCTTCGGCTCAGGTCATGATCCCAGCGTCCTGGGATCGAGTCCCACAACAGGCTCCTTGCTCTGCAGGGAGCCTGCTTCTCCCTCTGCCTCTGCCTGCCATTCTGTCTGCCTGTGCTCGCTCTCTCTCTCTCTCATAAATAAATAAAATCTTAAAAAAAAAAAATGCAAAAATTAATTACGGAGGAAGATGTTTAATATAAATTGTTAAATTCTAAAAAAGCATTGTAGGATTGTGACAACGTGGACAGAACTACAGTGTATTATGCTAAGCAAAATAAGTCAGAGAAATACAAATGATTTTCACTCACATTTCAAGAAAGAAAACAGGTGAACGTAGGGGAAGGGAAGGAAAAATAAGATAACAGAGGATGGCAAACCATAAGAGACTCAAATGTAGAGAACAAACTGAGGGTTGCTGGAGGGGAGGTCGGTGGGAGGATAGGCTAAATGGGGGATGGCATTAAGGGGATTCTTGATGTAATGAGTCCTGCGTGTTATATATCAGTGATGAGTCACCAAATTCTACTTCTGAAACTGATATGACACTGTATGTTAACTAACTTGAATTTAAATAAAAATTAATGAACAAAAAGAAAAAAAAAAAACACTGTAGGAGAGCATGTCCACTATAATACCACTTCTGTAAAAACACTTAGAAAAAAAGGGTGCATACCCAAACAGTAGTGTAGATGGATAGACAAAGAGACTTTTAGTTTGTACCCCCCACCTTGAGTTTTCTAACTTTTCTTGCATATAAAATTAGAATTTAAATAGCCAGAAATCTAGAAGGAATTTATCTAAATCCTGCTTGCTTTCACTGATGTTTTTTATCTTCAGTGTCTTGGGTTTGGGGCTGACTATTAAGAGATCCAGATTTTTAACTTAGCATTAGCGGTGTGACGGTGTGACCTTGGGTAATCATCTTAACCTCAGTGGACCTCAGACAAGTTTTCTTGTCTGACAGAATGAGATACTGGGGGGAATGAGGTCCCTCCCAATTTTAAAATGATTCTAGAATCCTATTCTAAATTGTGTGAAATAAAAGTGGACTACGACCTGAGGGACTCAGCATCGGAGAACTCTGAAGTCAAATATGCTGTTAACTTGGAAGCTTATTGACCTACCTATCTTTATCAAGTACAGATTATATTTTTAGGAAGCAGCAAAGCACTGTATTTTAGGGTCAAATCACTTGACAAAGGCTTAATGTTTTTGCTTCACCTTGCCGTCTGTTAATCAAATAACTTTTCTGGTTGGCCTCAGGCTCTTGACTGAATTAAAGATAATACACTGCATCTTTGCCTATTACTTCACAGCTTACCACATGTTTTACCTTGTAATATTTGTTCTTCCTAAGAGGCATTATTATTCCTCAGATAAGGATCCCGATGACAAGTGGCTTGCCACATTCCCATTTGACTCTCAGTGGTAGAACGGAGGCTAGCTAGAACCCTGGACCTTGGAAGATGGACCACTTTTGTCTACATCCTACTACCTCTCTCTGATGTTTTCCCTAGTGCTTTACATTCCGTGATATGGCCACTTCCATGAAAATAACTATCAGGTTTCGCAGTCAGAATTTGGAAGCTGGAGGAGACCTAGCAGTCCATTTCCCTTATTTAGAGATGTAATGAAGTTCCACCATTTTACAAATGAGGAAATTAAGGTCTGTAGAAGCCAAATGATAGATAAGGCCAATGTAGATGAAATCCTGACAGAGCTAGCTAGCTAGGACTTGGATCCATCGCATTAGAAGGAAGTCAGAGATAATGTTCTTTTGGAGAGTCAAGAAGGGATATTCTTTGAAAACCATTTATTTGAATATTTTCACTGAAGTGCATGATAATTAACCTTTCAGGAGCAGTTACTGAGCATCTGCTGTATTAAGACAGTATTGTTTTTTTAAAAATTAGTTCTTGAAAGAATGGTACCCAACTAAAGAAGTGTGTTTTTTATTTGTGCAGATGGCTCTGTCCTTTCATTTAGGTACTGAATTAATAATTGGACATTTTATTTTTGGCGTTAATAATGAGCAAGGCAGGTTTTTACATTGCGAATTTCAGTAACTGCTCCTCCCTCACAAATGGACTGTACCAAAAGGTAGGATCTTTTATTCTTGTTTATTCTTGTTACTCTAGCATTCATATTGTTGACTTAGGCAGTTCTTTGAAGTGTTTTAAGTGGTTATTAGATCTCAGAGAATAGACTTTCTTAAAATAATTATGCTGTTTTCTTTAATTCTAGCTTAATTTTTTAATGTTCTATTTTATATAGTAAGACCTGAATATCAGAAAATACCAGAGATACTGGCAAATGCTCTGGACATGGCTAGGTGTCCTAATGGTGAATTAGATAGATGTCACATTAACCAAATACAAATGCAAAACATTTTGAAATACCGGATGTTGAGCTCAGATGTGCTCAACATTGTTTCATGCTTCCTACAAAACTTTGTACTACTGGAATGGCAAAGTGTTAACATTTTATTATAGATATTGATACAGTTTGCATCAAAACTATCAGCACTTCAGAGGCTGGGACCACCTTGTTTTATTTTTGCATTTTCGGGACTTAACATAGTACTCAGTACCTTCTGGTACTCAGAGAATGTACTGATGTGATATATTAGAACACCTCTGAATCAGGTGAGCCAGTTATTGAGACCAAAAGCCTTAGGTCTCAAAATCTACTTCAAGTGAAAGCAGCTTGAACGAATGGTTAGTGATTTAACCCATAGAGTGCCCTTGTTTATCGATGAGTCCCTGAATCATTAATGATCAGTAGAAAGTAGGTGACGTCTGAGCTATCTAGTGTGGAGTTTCCAGGAGAAATTCTATTGTAGTTGCACAGCTTCCCACCAGTTTGTGATGGTGGCCTAACAAAGAGGGCTTTTCTTATAACCTGTAACTGTACCTGTTTCCCCCTCTTGTATCTGCTAAACTACTGTGTTCTTGGTTGGAGAATTCCAGGGACGTAATAGAAAATGTCATACATAAGCTCTGAAAACTGGTTTTTTATTTCTTTAATGTAGGAAGTTATAACATCTTTGTAATTGAAAGGTGTGTGCAGTTCTTGCAAAACCATCTTTATATTTGCTGGTTCATTTACTGTGTATGTCAGCTGCTGTACATTTATTAAATTTTTGCCTCAAATATAAATTTTCAATTTAAGGGGAGGCAGATTGAAGGACATAGATGCCACCTTAAATGAAAATGACCTAAATTCTGAAATGTATTTTGTGTTTTAGCAGCATTTATCAGTGTGTTTTTTTAAATTCAATGACTTATGAAAGATTATAAAGAAGAAAAAATGGCCCCCAATCTTATTGAAAAGATAACTTTTATTGATAATTTGTTTCTCCTTTGCATAGATTACTAGGCAAGTGTAAGTACATTTGTTGACATATTTTTAAAATGGAAATAATACATACAAATGATTAGAAAATTTAAACTGTATAAAAATAAAATACTTTGTCTCCCCCCCAAATTTCTTGGGCTCCTTCTTCAAAAAAAATACAAAATGCTTTACACTATATACTTAGTATTTTGCTCTTTTTCTGGTTTTATACGCCTTGACAGCCTTTCCATACCAGCATATGCGAATCTGTCTCTACCACCTCTACCTTGTACACCTCTACCACATGGATTATTTATTATTTATTATTTATTCTACCCCTCTTATACTGATACATAGTTAGATTGTTTCCAGTTTCGTTGCACGGTTGCAGTAAACATCCTGTTGGCATATTTTAGCATTGGATAATTTCTGAGCAGTGGAATCACTGGGGCTCAGAGTATATTTGGAAGACATTTTCAAAATTCCATCCAAAGACAAGTTTTAGTTTTTATCAGAAAGTCAGCATACTCATTTTTCTGCACTCTTATCTATATTAAAAAACACTTTTTAGGGGCGCCTGGGTGGCTCAGTGGGTTAAGCCGCTGCCTTCAGCTCAGGTCATGATCTCAGGGTCCTGGGATCGAGTCCCGCATCGGGCTCTCTGCTCAGCGGGGAGCCTGCTTCCCTCTCTCTCTCTCTCTGCCTTCCTCTCCGTTTACTTGTGAGCTATCTCTGTCAAATAAATAAATAAAATCTTAAAAAAAAAAACTTTTTAAATTTCTACTAATCTAGCAGGTAAACTAAATAATATTTTTAAGTAAAGGAAATATGGGGGCGCCTGGGTGGCTCAGTCAGTTAAGTGACTCTTGATTTCAGCTCAAGTCATGATCTCAGAGTCCTGCGATTGAGCCCACAACAGGCTCTCTGCTTAGCAGGGAGTCTGCTTGAAGGGTCTCTCCCTCTTCCTCTGCCCTTCCTCTCTCTCCCTCTTCCCCCACAAAAAATAAATCTTTAAAAAAAAGAGAAAGAGAAATATGTTACTTTTCTTTTTAATAGTCTGTAGGATTTGAAAAATGTTGAAAAGACAAATAGTCTTATCTTTAATTCTTCTTTTTGTTTTACATATTAAGAGATGAAATTGGCCTGATCCCATGCCCTGAAGCTAGGTATAACCGGAGTCCCATAGTCCTGGTTGAAAACAAACTTGGTGTGGAGAGCTGGTGTGTCAAGTTCCTCTTACCATATGTCCACAACAAGCTCCTTTTGTACAGAACAAGAAAGCAATGGCTGAACAAAGATGGTGAGTATGAACTCTGTCCTTCTCCTTTGTGTTTTAGAAACAGCATGGAATACACGGGGGTGGGGGGGACCTTCTCTGGGTGTTGGCATTCCTGGATTTGAGTTCTGGCTCTTTCATTTGCTGCCTAGGTGGCAGCTTAACCTCTCTGTCAAATGAGGAGTTTGAATCTGTCAGTAGTTTCTCGTTTTGCCTCCATAGTGATACAGGATTCCAGGCTACCTACTGCACCTGGACAGTACATCGGAGCAGTTCTGATTTTTACCTTGTTATGTATTATGGTTATTTATAAAATTTTATTTGAAGAAGACATCCTATGGCTGTAAAAGAAAGTTGGAAAAATACTGAAGAGGACTCCAGTTCCTTCAAGCTCAGATTTTTGGTTTCTAATCCTTTAGGAACTCTAAAAGCTACAGAACTCATTTTGGTGGCAGACCAAATGGGATAACAGAGGTATGATGGTGTTAGTTACGCTGTGACCCAGCTCAGTGATTTATGGAGGTGCTGTTGTGCTGTGAATCCCTGCTGAGCTTTGGGCCCTCTGTGTCTTCTTTCTACGCTGATATAAGCAAAAGAAAACCATCCCAGCTTCCACTTCTTTTCTCCTCTGAGACAGCTCTCGCTGCACTGGACAATCTCTGTTCATCCTACCTGGTCTCTTTTCTTAGCTTTCCCCCCATATGAGATATTAAGCACCCATGTGCATGAATTACCTTTGCTTTTTAGGTTAAAAAAAAAAAGTAGAATATTCATTCATGTTCTTAACTGTTTTTGTAAAGCCGCCTGCTCCCATATACAGCCATACCTTCCAAAGTGCTCAGTATGCCTGGAGGCTCATTTTGAATAAGAACTTTGTTTCCTAGAGAATTTTAATTACCAGTTTGGTAGCCATTACTGTGAGCCTACTCCTACAGAAGCTGTTCTAAGTACTGTGGGGATAAAAAGATGAATAATACATGTTCCTTTTACTCAAGAAGCTTAACAGTTGGGTGAAAAACAATCTCTTTGTGGAGTGTTGCCGAAGGCATGACATACTGATTTCCTTGTATTCCTTTTAGCATTGCCCTTAACATACTATCATAGTAGCACTTTTCTCTGTTTAGACCAGTAGAAAAGGAATCTGACTTGAAGATTTAATGTGACATAGTTTCTGTTTTCTGTGGGTTTCACTTAGTCAGTCCTCTGATACATATTTCTTGTAAGACTCCTCCTACGGGAGCACCTGGGTGGCTCAGTGGGTTAAAGCCTATGCCTTTGGCTCAGGTCATGATCGCAGGGTCCTGGGATCAAGTCCCACGTCAGGCTCTCTTCTCTGCGGGGAGCCTGCTTCCTCCTCTTTCTCTGCCTGCCTCCCTGCCTACTTGTGATCTCTGTCTGTCAAATAAGTAAATAAAATCTTAAAAAAAAAAAAAAAAGACTCTGCTTACGTTTATGGCATAGCTTAAGTTAGTGGCATAAACTTAAAGGAATAAGTTTATCCGTAAATTTAAAAGTAGGGACATTTATGCATTGTTAGGCCCTCTCTCATTCTCCCTTCCATCACCCTAAAGTGGATAGTTTGTTTATGAAACCTATAGTAAGTTTCAGTAACATTAAGGTATAAAGTAATACCATACGGATCCATCAGGGTTGTTTTTTTGTTTTGGAATTTTTTTGTTTGTTTTGTTTTTGTTTTTGTTTTGCCAAATACAGCTGTATTGTGTGTGTTCGTGCACACAAAAATGTATAATTGAGCCAATACATAACTAGCTTGGGGAGGTGGGGAGACAGATGATGCTCTTGTAGTAGAGAAGAAACAGTATAAATTTTTAAAATGTCAAAGTCTACTGTTAATGTTGTATCAGATCATCATTTTTTGCCCATTCATGTATGCTAGCCTAGCCTGCCCTCTCCTTGCAGCCCTCCAGGTCCTTCTCTCCATTTTCCTATATCTTATCTCTCTGGACACTGCCCTGCAGACTTTGCTGAGTCTCCTCATCGTGAAGTTTTAGTGTTGGTAGGCCCAAGAAGACCCACGCAGAAGATCAAATGGTTAAGCTCACTCACACAAATAACTAGCACCTAAATTTTGAATTCTGGCACAACTGTGTGTGAGTACAGAAGCAATTTGATGTTATTTTAACTTATATCTTCATGGAAACAGTTTTTAATTTCCCATTTTTGGTGCATGGCGACAGCGTAGTTTAGTGTAGTATCACATACTACTCAGGTTGTGTATTAACAGTAAAAACATGAAAGTGAATTTCTAATGTGACAGAAAAATGATACCTGAAAATGCTGATTAACAGAAGAGAATTCTGCCAAACTTGTTAACTGAAGCAGTTATTACACAGAGGTGAATATTGCTAAGGAAAAAAGGGGAAAGTATTAGAAAAAAGCAGTGATTTTGTGAAAATGCTATACCTTTAAAGCTGTCTTTGTGGAAAACATATATAAGAAGAGCCAGGTGAACAAAGCTCTCAGTTTAAGGATTTCAGAAACATCAGTGTCTGTGTTTGATCATACCCAAATCCTAGGCATCACCTAGGAATGTATTCTGTTACTGAAGGTGACCTTTATTCTTGGGATAGATTTCTTTCTTTTTAACCAGACTGAATTCATGCTCTCATTAATGTGCTGAATTCCTTAGATGTTTGGAAAGCATCTGTACTAGTTAGAGTTCTCTAGAGAAACAATCAGAAAATTTTATATAGAGAGAGATTTCTTGTAACAAATAGACTAACATGATTGTGGAGGCTGAAAAGTTCCATAGTCTGCTTGCTTCAAGCTGGAGACCCAAGAAAGCCAATGATAAAATTTAGCTTGAGTCTGAAGGCCTCAGACCCCAGGGGAGCCAAAGTTTTAAATCCCAGCCCAAAGGCCAGAGATTAGGTGAGATGTCCAAACTCAAGCAGACAGACAGGAAGCAAAGAGGGGCAAAGATCTCTTGGTTCCTCCTCTTGTTGCAGATGGGCCCTCTACAGACTGGATGATGCGCACCCACATTGGGGAGGACAGCCTGCTTCATGGAGTCTACTGATTTCAATGCTAATCTCACAGACACACTCGGAAATAATGTTTACTAATGTTTCATCTGGACACCCTGTAGCCAGTCAAGTTTAACGGTAGAATCAAAGTTTACCATCACAGCATCCCTCTTCATTACTTAGAGACTGATGTTTTTTAAGTCTGCTGCCATGGTAGCCATATTTGGGTTGAGAGGGGAATGATACTGTAATTCTGATTTTTGAAAAATCCACGACAGAAATGAAACGAGAGAAGTCCACAGCATTGGAGTCCTCCCTGAGTAGAGGAGCTCTTTCCCACACCTGGACTGTCTCCAAGTGTGTCCTCCCATCATTTGCGCTTGCTGCTCCCTCTTTCTCACAGCCTCTGCCAACTATGCTCTCTCTTTAATGGCCATCTTCTGCTCTTCGTGTCTTCTTTCTCACCTGGGCAATTGTGATGACCCCATCGCTGGTCTACCCTGTTTTCAGTATCTTCTGTAGCCTGTGTTCATCATGCCACTAGCCAATCATTTCAAATGTACTTCTCAGCAACACTTCTTAGAAACACAGTTTGAGGGATGCTTTTCTGAAATACGCATCTGTGCATCTTATTTCATGATGCCTACAGGGTCAGGTTGGGGTTCAAACTCCTTGGTATGGTATTCGAGGACCTTCACAGTCTGTCCCCAGCCTTCATTACCAGCTTTTCCTCTGCCTTACATTCAGCATCAGAGCTCGTATATTCTCAGCTTCTGGTGGCAGCTCACAGACAGATTTCGTTTTGGCTTATAAAATGTTTCTTAAACTGTTTTTAATATGTTCGGTAAACATTGAAAGGATGAACTTTGAAAGTTCAGATGGAAATCTGGATTTGTCTTCACTTGAAAAATCGAAAGTGTTGAATCATAAATTTCTGCACAGCAACAGTTGGCTGGGGCTCCCAGCCTATGCTTTTCTTGATGGGGTAAGCCTGTTGCAGTTGGCCACAACCTCTTCATGTCCTTCAGATACTAAGGCAGAGTGTCAGTTGCTACTTACTCTAAGGTTTGCTTTGCTACTTTTTTGATGTTCATTTGAATATAGAAGCATTAGAGTCTGCAGCATTTGACATACTTCTCAGCCACAACACACTCTGTGCCATCCTTGGACTTTACTGTGTCCTCCTGCTTTACTTCCATGACTTCGCTGAGGCTAGGTTCACATCTTATGCTGTCACCATTGTTGTGGTTGGCAGTGCTGTGCACACACGCAAAGGCTGTTTGACTACTTCAGGAAGCCAGGATTACGTCTCTTCAGCCCTACAGGAGTCCTTTATTCAGACCGCTTGCAAAGTAGCACTTACCACACGTCATCATAGTTGATTATTTAAACATTTTCCCCAGGTAGATTGCGAGTTTGTTAGAAAGAGGGATTGTGGCTTGTCTGTCTTTATGTCCTCAGCTCCTTTATGTTTTCAATAGACATTTGCCAAATAAGTAGTGAGAGTTTGGTAAAACAAGAGGATTTAGCTTAGTCTGACTATCGATTCAGTGACCATATTCTATAATGAAAGGGCCTTTCTTGTGTTTATCACATAGCTTTATCTCAGACCTCTCTTCTTGTGGTCACCAGAATGTATTTTGGAAAAGGAGGTTAACCAGTCCACACGATCTTGGACTTATTTCTAGAGGCATAGAAACATATCTCTGTCAGGGACAGTTGGCAAATGCAATGACCATTACCAGGTGACTGCTGGCTTTGGGCCATTTCTGGAATCCCATTGTGGCTAAGAAGGAATTGATTTTTCTTCGACTTTTCCTTAGCATCCTTTTGTCCTTTCCTTGTCACAGTTGGAATTTAGCTACTTTCCTTGATTCATTTTCTCCTTATGATGTGATGATGAATTAGTCATATATCGGAGTGGTTTAACAAAGGAACATTTGTTTGCTGGTATATGTTCTGGTATTTGTAGAGAGATCTGTTTAATTTCAAGAGACCATAGGTATATCAGTACCTCACATCTTCTGGGTAAAGAAT